TATTACAGGAATCTCTAAACCTTTGCTCTAAAACCTCTAATATGACTTTGGTATGTTTTAGCTATTGTTTGACTTTGATAATTCTTTTAATTTATTTTATTGTTGCCTAGTCATTGTTACGTGTATTGTATATTTATTATTATTGTTGATGATGATGATGATGATGATATTACCTTTTTAGTATTTGATTTGTTTTTCCTATCAATTTTTTTTCAATTTCTGTTTTATCTTGGCTTCATTGAAAATGAGGGTAATGTACTTTAATGTACTCTGGAAAATGCTTTTTCTATGGCAAGTGAGGACCTCAGAATCTGAAGGATCTGGAGAGGTTCTGTATGGAGGAACGGTCTCAGATCCTTTGCCATGTGAGAAAATCACAGCTGTTATCTTTGCAAAGGGAGGCACACAAATTATTAAATGAAAGGGTGTCAACACTTGTGCACATAGAGATTTGAGAACCATTTTTGTTAATATTTTGAATCAAAGATCAAAAGGATAAGAAATAAACATGTCTTTACAGCCTGTTTTGCTCATGTGGCGTGTTTGAGGAGGGCACTACATACATTACTGATAATATTAGCGATGGACTTTTTCTAAACAGTCCCATGACCCGTATATCAAACCATCACATAAGGCGAAAGTACATAGTAAGCTGAATAATAATGGTGTATTGCGGGGGTGATTCTTGGACCAGGGCTGACCAATTAGACCAGCCCCCCTCAAACGGTAACTGGTGCTAGCAGGAGTGTGTGAGTGGATCAGAACATTTTGCTTATCAGAGACAAACTTCCTTAGGTGTGTTGACCTGAACACATAATAAAGCCTAAACTACCCGACTACTTACCTAATTTAGTTATCCATATCAAAGTAAATCAAGCAGAGCCAGAGTGGACAGTCAGGAGAGTTGGGCTAATGTATAAACACATAAAAGCTCAAAAACACTCAGACACACTATAAATGTAACAACTGAGTGTGAATACGTAGTAATTTAGGGCCTGTACAGCTCCTACTGACTGTAACTCATACAGAGGATAGAGATTAGATGAAGCTGAAGTTCTTATTCTTATTTCCTGTTCCACCTTAAATGATGGCGCTAGTTTGTAATTGCTGCACTACTTAAGGTGGAACGGGAATTGGAATAGGCAGCTAACATCAGCCTCGAGAAATTATCAAATGAAGTGAGACAGTGAGGTGCTGCCAACACAGCAGACAGCGTTTATAAATAGAGTTTATTACTGTATTCACATTTTCATACATGATTTATGTAAAGATGGATGGCAGCAGCAAGAGCTGAAGGTATGAAAAGGCTAGTTAAGCAGGATGAGGAGATTTCTGAGCAGGTGGGCAGCGAGAAATGCTGACAGGACATTAAATAAGACAAAAGGTTTCATCAGTTTTTTCATGTTATCACTATCTAGCCACCTTGTTTATCGCAGTATAATACATAATAGAGCAAGGAAGATGAAAATGCACAGATTTTAGCAAAAAACTATTGCTGCACAAAGTGAATGCTGGGTGTGTGTAGCAGGAGAAACACAGTTAGAGTTTAAGGTGGGCTGGTCCTCATCATATAACTCCTGATCTGAAAACCTGAACAGAGAGAAAAAATTTATCCTGAAAACAGCTTGTGGTGGACTTCCAGAAAACGTCTCCAGCTCCTGTCACCCTGCAGGGTGAGAACACTGAGGTGGTTAACACCCACAAGTACCACAAGAGAGTCTGTGGTGTCCAGTTCCATTTTCTGTTCTGCTGTGTGCTGGGGTGAAGAACACTAACAGACTGAACTAGATCATTAGAACGTCCAGCTCAGTCCTGGGGACCAAACTGGACCCAGTGTAGATGGTGGTGGAGAGGAGGATGCTGAGGAGGCGTCAGTGATCATAATGAACCTCTCCCACCCACTCCACAAAACACTGAAGGCACAGAGGAGCACAGTGAGGAGCAGACTGCTCCAGCATCACTGCAGGACAGAGCTTTCACAGGTTATTTCCTTCATTACTACTTCCTCACTAGTCATGCTCTTTTGCACAATACTGTATTTTATAGAAGTTCTACAGCAGGTACTTTATTTATTACTGTGGACCAATGTTGAACTGTAAACCACCTCATCTGTGGATTACTGTCATTACAACACTGCAACACTTAATTAATTAATAGTAACTGTGACTATATATTGTATAGTTATAGCTATATTATATAGTATTGTATAGTATTACATGCAATACCGTTCCTTATTCTGTTCTACTGTTTTTACCTTACTAATGTGTATTCTAAGTCCAACTCCTGTCCTGACATCAGCGTACAGGATCTGTACACACATGGCTATGGTCAATGTATTTAAGTAGAAGAAACATCCCAGACAGACCCAAGTGATTGTGCTTTTTCAGTGTCCATGGTGAAAGAATTCAGACAATAAAAACCCGAAATGCAGAATGGCTCTGCAAAGAAACTCTTCAATATCAAAAGTATTACTCTGCATGTAGTTCCTCAGTTCAGCATTAGATGGCAGTATATCTCTGTGTGTAGTTCTTTCAGATTTCTATCTAAGTGACCCTTATTAATGCCACAATGGGGAAATTTCACCTCTGCATTTAACCCATCTGTGCAGTGAAACACCACATAAACATTAGTGAAAGCACATACACTAGGGGTCAGTGAACACACCTGCCCAGAGCGGCGCCTGGGGAGCAGTTGGGGGTTTGGTGTCTTGCTCAAGGGCACTTCAGTCTCGTACTGTCGGCTCAGGGGATCAAACCGATGACCTTCCGGTCAAAAGGCTGGTTCCCTAATCTCCAGCCCATGACTGGCCCCCTCCTCTGCTTACTGTTTGGGTTTTTGGTCTCCCTACAGAAAAGGGGTTCCAAACTTTTTGCCACTCATGGCAAATCTTAACCTACTGAATTTCACTTGACACTTCACTTAATTACCCAACATAACAACTCACAAAACTGTGATCTGTTTGGTGTAGCAGCGACTGGAGGTTGATGAGTTTGACAATGTCAGCCTGCAATTTTTATATTATAGTTTACATTGAGGGCTCTATGAGCTACTTGTACAAATATTTAATTACATTTTTTTTATTCTCAAAAAAGGAACTAGACTTTCCATATAAAAGGGAAAAATATAAAAAGGAAAATATTTTTCTTCAAAAACCCAATGTGTAATATCTAGAATGAAATAAATAGTAGTGAGAATGATCACATGCACTGAAAAACACCAACGCATTGCCACTCCCTCACCATCTTCCTGATTATCCATTTACATTTAAGCATTTAGCAGATGCTTGTAGACCGACTTACAGTAGGTGAATGTAGCCTTCCCAAGGACTCTTATTGGTGTAGCATCATGAATTAAACCCCTTTCTGCTACATGGAAGGCAGCACTATTTCCCATTATGCCATATTCCCCACTACCCCATCCAGTGTGGCTGTACTATGGCCTTACATTTGCAGGGGTGGGAAACCACAAATTAGTTTAGCGTCCCCACCTTCTGGAGAGGTTTAAGAGAAGCACTGCCTGTTTCTATCACCCTGTAAGTTTGGTGCTCATAGCTGGCTTAGTGATCTCCACCTAGGTCATTCATCCTGACTTCCAGATATTTTTCCATCTCATCCGGCACCATCCTGGGGTTCTCCATATTCTCTATGCTCATTGATTGATTAAAAGGTTCTGTCTGACTTTATGAGGAACCTGTGACACTTCCTAGGCTGAACCCTAAGCGCAGTCATAGCCCTTCCATGCTCCACTTGGACTCCTCTTGGCTCTGTCCACTCACACCACACTACACACACCTATGACTCATCCTAGGACTCATTTTGTTTGGTTTGGTTGTTTGCTAAGTCTCTGTGTGTCTTGAGTTCCAAGCTGGTTTTTTTTTATTTATGCGTGTTTTGACCCCTGCCTTTCGTCTTTCTGCTTTTTAAAAATGCATATGTCTCAGGTATTGCCTGACTGTGTTTTGACTCCTGATTGTACAGACTGTGAGTGAAGTGTTGGACTGCCACGATCACTTACAATCAACCTACATGCCTCTTTACAGGGTGAGAGCACACTCCAGTCTACAGAAAGGTTGTACTACCTACGCTGTGTGAAGAGTTACACTTATGGTGAAAATCCTTCACAAAGGCAGTCACTGATCAGCTGTAAGTGTCTGATCACACTGCACTCAATAATCAGTTCAGCTCACAGTGATAAACTACTCTACTGAGGAAACTGATGAGAACAATGGTTAAAACCTTAACAATGGTCTTATTAATTTTGGTTAATGAGGCTGAAAACATTTTTTTACATGAGGTTTTATACTGTGGTACTGCACAGGTGAAGAATCAGGAGACGTCATGTTCTGCTTAGAAAAATGCTCTTTCATTCTAGAACAAGCAGAAAAAAATCCTGGTGAAACAACTGAAATGAGGGCAGGCCACTCCTGACCCTGTACTTTCTCCCAGTGTTGAGCACTAACCCAAATGAACTTAACCCATACCCCAACAGAAAACACATACAGACAACTTACATTTAGAATAACAGCAACAAACAACATAAATGGGGCACTGTGTGTGTGTGTGTGTGTGTGTGTGTGTGTGTGTGTGTGTGTGTAGATTCCTCTGAGGTGAATCCAGTGTGAAATACATTTGTGCTAAATGTAGGTCAGCTTGTCAGTCAAAGACTGTTCACTCATTAATAAGGTGTAGGAAGGGTAACCTAACTGAGCAACTTCTATGGCCCAAAATATTAATGTTAAGGCACTGAAAAGTGATGTATGTATTACATTTACTTGAATTTCTTCATGAAAACTGCTGTTCATTTTTTTTCCTTTGCTACCTCAATAAATTCATTAACTTGGTCACCTCATGGTGAAAACTCTAGTTAAAGTTAGAGAACATCTGCAGGGGAAACTCTATGTGGCTGCAGAACAACCAAAGCTACACCCTGTCCACATGCCTCAGCTCAGCCACTCCCATCAGATCCATGGTGTCAAATGTCAGATGTAAAACCCAGGAAGACAGAGAGAGAGAAAGAGAGAGAGGAAGAGAAAAAGGCCTCACCATCCTCTTCTGTATATTTATGGAGGGTGTTTGCTGAAGGTCAACATCTGCAGATCTAACATCACATGTTGAATCACATTCTTCTTTAGTTGCAGGTGAGTAAAAATGACTTTATTAAGCAGTAACAGAGATTTCAAACGAATGTTTATGAACAGCTGGAACAGTTCAGGTTGAGAATGCTTTCGCTTTCGTTTTGTGAAAAAAGGTTTTGTCTGAACTTGTTTGGAAATGAGTTCAAATGCTTCCAGATTTAAAGCAGTTGCCAAAAGAGAATGTTAAACTAATGAGTTCATGCGTTGTGTTTTCATCAACCACTGTTATTTGAAAATCCTGTAATATTATTTGTTTGTCAGATATCACTTCCTGTTGCACTGAGAGTGAACTTATTATCCTACACTGTACACTACGCTGATTCACTAAGATCTGAAATAAGTAATAATTTGCATGTACAGCAGAGTATTTGAGTGGAGACATTTCAGCTCCTTTCGTTTCTGTAAACACTCTGCTCCAGCTCTGCTCCAGGTTTTCTATGTCCTGCTCCTCGCTCACCCATCAGGGGCATATGATTCATTCTCAGGAAATTTATTTTCTGGAATGTCTGAATGTCTTTTCCATATATCTGGAACATATAAACAAGAAACAACATATTTTATTAATACTATATTTTCTGGTCAAGTTTGAATGAAAAATGAGTTAAACATTCTGTGCTGCACAGGCTTTTTCAGAAGGTTTATGTTTAGTGTTGGCCCAGTCATGAGCTAGAAACCTGCTGAAGGTGCTTTGTTTACCAATGATAAACAAATGCAACATCTTCTTTATCATTCACGCAGCAAAATGAATGACATGAGACTGACTCTGTATGATGTCTGTAGATTTGTGCTGTGATCGGTGAGAATTTCTAGTCTGTAGTTCTGCTGAAGAGACGCTGTGTATGAACGGCTGCCATATGAGCTGTGGAGTCACTGTCACATCACTCGTCACTCAGAGGCAGTCAGTGTGGGAAAAAAGGACTGACTGGCTCGAGGGATGGAGTGATACTGGAGTGATTATGGAAAGAGAGAAACTCTGACACTCTGACTTTCTGAAAAGCCGTTTTGTGTTCCAAGCAAAATAACCTCACTAACCTAACCACTCCCACTGCTCTCTGCTCACATAACAGATTGTGTGAGCAGTTAGTGGGTGTTTTATTGGGTAATTTACAAAAGAATAATCACTCAGATGAAGACATGACCAAAAAGAAATCTGAAATGCAGATGAGGCTTTATGTGTGCTAACTGTTCTTGATAGCTGTGACAAGTTCAGATCTCAAAAAGGTGTTAGCTGAAATGTAAATACATAAAACAGATACAGGAAAAATAGGACAAAAGAAAAAGACAGTCAGTGGTAAGGTAAAACTGAAAATGAAAAGGTAGGAGAAAGATAAGAATTAAGACAAAGAATAAAAGAAAATATAGCATACAATAATACTTACGTAAATAAATGAGGTTCAGGTGGACGATAAAAACATCAGAACAATTGAGATGCAGGATGGGAGTCTTTAGTTTATTATTTAATTGACCTGTATGAAGGAGGGTCTCCCAATGAAAGATACGTGTGGACATGACTAAAACTTCCAATCTGTTTTTGCTGGTGGCCTCAAGCCATGTGCAGCTAGAAAACATGCAGAGCACTCCTCTTTGCTCCTCATGGCTGGTTATTTCCCATCACCATACCTGTAAATGAATTTAACTGATAACATGGATCAGAACAGATTTCAATAAGACATGTATTGTCCAACTGATTATTATATTTATCAATTGGCTCATATTGAAGGGAAGATCTGAATGAGACACATCTAAATACATCAAATAAGTATTTTTGTATTTTTCTGTTCCACAATCTCATTGATTGTGTGGAAGAACAGTATATTCAGTAAAAGTGGACCAACAACTTAAGAGGTTTTAATGAGTTTGTGTCTTTTTTTCACTATTTGTAAAGACACTACGCTGCATTTTACATCTTTTAAAAAATGCCTTTATTGAATGTTTCTCATTTGAAAGATGCAGTCCTCTGCAGACCCTGTTAGCAGGTCAGCTTGTACAGTTTTTGTTATGTTGCCAAGTTTGCGGATATTCTTACACACTCAAACCCAGTAAGTCTTTTTTTTCTATTGTGTGTTTTTGTATGGATAAACTGTTAACAGGGATCAGCCAGGGAGCAGCTGTGTGTGTAAAGAATAAAAAACTATATGATGAAGCGTCACAGTTCCAGCAGTGGAGGAGGATCCTCCGACCCAAAGTGAGTAACTTTCCATCAGCACTAAAACAGAGGAAACAGAAAAATAATTAATAAAAAGAAGAAAGAAATATTACATATTGTTTAACTCACACACTCATTGTGAATGAACTCTAGGTTAAAGCGTGCAGGATCTCCAGAACCCAGCTGTGTGTCTATAAAGAGTGACCGGTCCATGCGTGACCCTCCTACATTCAGAAGAGGAAGAGAAGAGCCCAGCCGTGTGTCTATGAAGAGTGACCGGTCCATGCGTGACCCTCCTACATTCAGAAGAGGAAGAGAAGAGCCCAGCTGTGTGTCAATGAAGAGTGACCGGTCTATGCGTGACCCTCCCACATTAAGAAGACAAAGAGAAGAGCCCAGCTGTGTGTCTATGAAGAGAGACCGGTCCATGTGTGACCCTCCTACATTCAGAAGAGGAAGAGAAGAGCCCAGCTGTGTGTCAATGAAGAGTGACCGGTCTATGCGTGACCCTCCCACATTAAGAAGACAAAGAGAAGAGCCCAGCTGTGTGTCAATGAAGAGTGACCGGTGTATGTGTGACCCTCCTACATTCAGAAGAGGAAGGGAAGAGCCCAGCTGTGTGTCAATGAAGAGTGACCGGTCTATGCGTGACCCTCCCACATTCAGAAGACAAAGAGAAGAGCCCAGCTGTGTGTCAATGAAGAGTGACCGGTGTATGTGTGACCCTCCTACATTCAGAAGAGGAAGGGAAGAGCCCAGCTGTGTGTCAATGAAGAGTGACCAGTCTATGCGTGACCCTCCCACATTCAGAAGAGGAAGAGAAGAACCCAGCTGTGTGTCTTTGAAGAGTGACCGGTCCATGCGTGACCCTCCTATGTTCAGCGGTGGAGAAGAACCCAGCTGTGTGTCTATGAAGAGAGACCGGTCCATGTGTGACCCTCCTACATTCAGAAGAGAAAGAGAAGAGCCCAGCTGTGTGTCTATGAAGAGTGACCGGTCCATGCGTGACCCTCCCACATTCAGAAGAGAAAGAGAAGAGCCCAGCTGTGTGTCTATGAAGAGTGCCTGGTCCATGCGTGACCCTCCTACATTCAGAAGAGGAAGAGAAGAGCCCAGCTGTGTGTCTATGAAGAGTGCCCGGTCCATGTGTGACCCTCCTACATTCAGAAGAGGAAGAGAAGAGCCCAGCTGTGTGTCTATGAAGAGTGACCGGTCCATGCGTGACCCTCCTACATTCAGCAGAGGAGGAAGAGAACCCAACCATGTGTCTGTGAAGTGTAATGGTGTCATTGACAACCATCCTCATCTCAGCAGTGGAGCTGCACCTTCTGGTCCAGGGTGAGTTATTTCCCCTCGGTGTAACACTGATGAGTGGACATGCTGGTATTCTGTAATTTGGTGTAATATGATCTTAAATCCTACAGTAACATTATTGTGGATAGTTCAAAAGGACATCACTGTATATTAAAAGTTCCATTCTCAGCAGAGAGTTTATAGATAAGCAGAGCAGCTCTGGGTTCAGATCTCACTATGCTGTCACGTTTGGATAATGTTCTGATCATGTAAATATTGTCCCTCCTCTGCACAAAAAACACTGATGTAAACAATCACAGCATGCACAGCTACAGAACAGGAGGAGAGATCTCAGAACTTTTTGTTTGTATGTTTGCAAACACAAACTATGTGCTTATAAATTCTATTAAAGTGCAGAAAAGTGTACACATACACTAAACGTCCTTGGTGAACCTTGGTAAAAATATGATTTTGTTCAACAACCAGCAGATTGCTATCAGGCTAATCCATTAATAGTTAGAGTCAGGCTTTAAGTCTAAATGTTTCCTGAAGGACTTGTGGTACACCTGCAACATGCATAAGTCAAAAAACTTGGGTCATGTTCATAAAAGCTTGCCTGAAAAAAATTACAAAGAATCTTAAGACAACACTAAGAATGTTGTTAAATGTAATTCTAGAAAAATTAAGACGTGCTGAAACATTTTCTTCAAAAAGTCTTAATTATTTTCTAAAGATCTTCTTACAGTTAAGAATACAAGAAACATTCTGAAGCTTAATTAACTGTTAACTGGTAACTTTTGTTCAATTACAATTACAGTTATACAGTCACATGTCATATGTTGTTATTTTCAGGAGACCATGTGCTGCTCAGATATGTCATTACTTGAAATGTAAATGCTAGAATTTTGATATCTTTATGAATTTGTCCATTTTTGATCAAAATTTTCTTGTCACCTCCTAAATTTAGTACATTATCTTTTTATAAAATGGTTCTGGATCTGTGACCTGACAACACAAGAATTTTGATGTTAGGTCATTCTGTTACTTACTATTGATCAAAAATAAACGATTGGAATAAATTGACCATCTTTTTATTGATTTTCTGTACTCTTGGGTCCATGCTAAACACTAATAAACATCTAGCCATGCATTGGATTCGTTTCCTCAGAGCCAATATTATTATTATTATTATTAGTAGTAGTAGTAGTAGTAGTAGTAGTTTATTTATTATTGTTTACTGGTCAAATAATGTCATGAGGAGCACAGGGGGTGTGACCCTGCAAAGTGGCTCTCGGAGGAGGCCAGACACCTGGGTAAGAAGGATGCTCACTGTTGCTGTTATTAGTTTAGTTGTGTTGCTTAGAGGTAACTGTTTCCGAGAAGGTTGGGTACAATCAAATAAAACTACATGAAAGTGGCAAACAGTTTAAGCAGTTGATTATGGCCATTTATGTGATGGTGTTATCATTTCTGTGTTTTATCTTTTTAGGCTGAACTCAACAGAAACAGCACTAGAAATGGTGAGAACAGGACACCAGCAGCAGGATTCTCACCTAGGCAGAGATGATGTCCTGCACAGAACCTTAGAAAGGCACAAAATCAGCATGAAGAACAAGTACGAAAGGTTATTTGAGGGAATCAAAACAGAAAAGAATAAAACTCTCCTGAACAGGATTTACACACAACTCTACATCATAGAGGGAGAGAGTGAAGGAGTGAATGAAGAACATGAGGTTCTACAGATGGAGAAAACATCCAGGAGATGCTTACAAGACTCTCCAATCAACTGCTCAGATATCTTTAAACCTCTAGAAGGTCCTCAAGGAGAAACAGAAAAAGACAACATCACAGCTTGTGTGGCTGAAGGTCTCAGACACAAAGAAAGAAAAGATAACAGACCAGAAGAGCCAGAGCTAAGAGCTGTTCTGACTAAAGGCATCGCTGGAATTGGAAAAACTGTCTCTGTGCAGAAGTTCATTCTGGACTGGGCTGAAGGAAAAGCCAATCAAGATGTAGATTTCATGTTTGTGCTTCCGTTCCGGGAGCTGAACCTGATTAAAGATGATCAATACAGTCTTCATGGACTTCTGTGTGACTTCCATCCTGAGCTCAAAGATCTGGACCCAGAGATTTATGATCAGATCAAAGCTGTGTTTATATTTGATGGTCTGGATGAAAGCAGAATTCCACTGAACTTTGAACAGTGCGAGAAAGTATCTGACATCACCATGACATCATCAGTGGGTGTGTTGATGACAAACCTCATCAAAGGAGAGCTGCTTCCCTCTGCTCTAATCTGGATAACCTCCCGACCAGCAGCAGCCAATCAGATCCCTCCTAAATACATCAACCGTGTGACAGAGATTCAGGGGTTCAGTGACCCACAGAAGGAGGAGTACTTCAGGAAGAGGATCAGTGATGAAGACCAAGCCCAGAGAATCATCTCCCACATTAAGACAGCGAGGAGCCTCCACATCATGTGCCACATTCCAGTCTTCTGCTGGATCTCAGCCACTGTTCTTCAGAGAATCATGAAACGGCATCATACGGAAACCCTAAAACTCTGACTGAAATGTACTCACACTTCCTGATCACTCAGATAAACATGAAGAATGATAAATATGAGAAACACAATAAGAGAAACCCAAAGAACCTGCTGGAGTCCAACAGAACCATTACCCTGAAACTGGCTGAACTGGCTTTCAAACAGCTGATGAAGGGCAATGTGATGTTCTATGAAGAGGACCTGAGAGAGAGCGGCATTGATGTCACTGAGGCCTCAGTGTATTCTGGGATTTTCACTGAGATCTTTAGGGAGGAATGTGTGCTTTACCAGAGGAAGGTCTACTGCTTTGTTCATCTGAGCTTTCAGGAGTTCCTGGCTGCTGTTTATGTGTTCCACTGCTATAAAAATAAGAAAATGAAGGTACTGCACATTTTTACATCACTAAACAGAAAGTGGACTGTGAATGTCCCATTGGATGAGGTTCTGAAGGGAGCAGTGGAAAAAGCTGTAGAGAGTCAGAATGGACACCTGGATCTTTTCCTTCGCTTCCTGCTGGGCATCTCATTGGATTCCAATCAGAGACTCCTGCAGGGTCTACTGACACCAACACAGAGCAGTTTAGAGAAAACCAGAAAGTACATCAAAAGATTAATCAAAGGAGAACAGAAACAATGTAAAATCTCAACTGACAGATCCATTAATCTGTTCCTCTGTCTGCCTGAAATGAATGACCAGTCTCTCTCCAGAGAGCTTCAGGAGTATCTAAAATCAGAGAGACACCCAGAGGAGAAGCTCTCTCCTGGACAGTGTTCCGCACTAGCCTGCATGCTTCTGACTTCAGAAGAGCTTCTGGATGAGCTGGACCTGAAGAAATACAGCACTTCAGAGGAGGGTTATAGGAGACTTGTCCCAGCTGTGTCTGTCTGCAAAAAAGCTGTGTGAGTGTTACACCTAAATGAAATAATATATATATATATATATATATATATAATGTGTGTGTATATATATTGATTTGATGACTTACCAGTCAAAATATAAGTGTTTTATTTATTTAGTAAAAGCACTATGCAGTATGCATACTCCCTATCCACTTTATTAGAATAGAAACCCCCTCTTGTAGCTCCTCTTTGCTTTTGTTGTAATTTCTGACCACAGAGCCACTCTTGGTGGTTGAGCCACTTTCAACCTATCAGTGACAGTGCTGTGTAAAAACCCCAGCATCACTGCTGTGTCTGATACATGCATAACAGTATCACACACACACACACACTACAATGTCAGTGTCATTTCATTTTGACCTTCAGTCAAAACCTTACCTGTGATGAATGTGGTAGAAGGGTAAACTGAGAAACTGTTCTGCAACAAATAGACTGCAGTTTGTAACTGTACACATACAAAATTGTATTTTAATTTAATGCAGGTGGAGCTCATAAAATGGCAATGGTAGGGGTTTCAAATAAAATGGCAAGTCAGTGGAAGTATAAGGAGGGGTTTCTGATAAAGTGCAAAAAGAGTGTACAGTCTGAGTACACATAATACATGTGTAGGCCAACAGGTCTGATTATAGTTAAACTCACCACAAACTCATCATCATTACCTAGTAAATTGCATTGGTTATTTCTGTGTAACACTTGCAAGAGCCTTCTTCTCAACAGTACAATAAATTCACTCACAACAACTGAACTTAATTAATTTAGAAACATAAAGAAACAAATATTTCGAAACATAAATAACATAAAACAAAGTAAAGTTATTTGAAATGACTGCAAGACTTATTTTGTAACACACTGCATTGTTTACAAGAAAATAGTGACATTATTTATACACACACACACACACACATATATATATATATATATATAAACCTGTTAACAATAAACCTGTTTCTGGCAGTGTGAATTAGTGGTGTTAAATATTTAATAACACATTGTATATGGATCTTATATTTACTAATTTTGTTATGTTTCAGGAGTTGCTTTGTCAGTCAATGCTTTACTTTGCTTCCCACTTGCAAAAATGTATGATACAAGAATAATATTTACAATGAAAGATGCATGACACAAAGAGCTGAGCTGAGAACGAGTAAAGGTTAAAAGAAAAGCAGCTGACTACTCACTGGTTATGCAAGAACATTGACTAATGGGACCCAACCTGAATTCATATTCACCTGATGTGGTAACAAATGCTAGCAAATTGTCACATTTGTAAATGTTGTTTTTTTTTATTTTTAAATTTGCAAGAGCACAAAGTGAAACATTTATTCTTAATAACTACTACTTTCTTACCCTTAGTAGGTACTTACAAAAAGATTCCATGTTATAAACAAATGAAAATGAACATTAGCTCCCTGATTAATGATACAATAAATATAATCAAATACAGTAATTTAAGAAAACACTTATTGCAAATTGTATTGCAAATTACTGCAAAATTAGTTAATTCAATCATTCTATTTATGGAATGCCTTACTGTCACATACATTAAATACATTCATAAAACATTTCTAAGCTTGCTTATAAATAAAATATTTTCATTTGCTGGGACATTATTAGTCACTTGCTAATAGTTAATTAGATATTAAGAATCAGACCTTAAAATGAAGGGTTACCAATGTATGTACTGTTTTAAATATTTCTTTGCAGACTAGCTGGCTGTAATCTCAACAAGCATTCATATGAAGCCATCGGCTCTGCTTTACAATCAGCAAACTCCTCTCTCAAAGAGCTGGACCTCAGTAACAATAACCTGCAGAATTCAGGAGTGGAGCTGCTCTCTGCTGGACTGAAGAATCCACACTGTAAACTGGAGATACTCAGGTGAATTTTAGTGAATTAATTTCTGATTGGGAAAAAGGTTGAGGTACAACAACCTATAAATCAATATGTATAACTGCAACATTGATGAATATCAGTGTTTTCAGAATTCTCTTGAGAATATCTGACTCTAAGTATCCTAGTAATATAAAACACACAAATGAATGTGTAGCTTATTATGTACGTTGACATATTCTTTTCTTTTCTCATGGTGAAGTCCTCCTTTAAATATAGTGTAAGATATATAATAATGATGTATCCTTTGCAGACTAGCTCTCTGTAAACTTGGGGGGAAAGCTTGTGAAAGGCTGAGATCAGGTATACAATCAGTAAACTCCTCCCTGAAAGATTTGGACCTCAGTAACAATGACCTGCAGGATTCAGGAGTGGAGCTGCTCTCTGCTGGACTGAGGAGTTCACACTGCAAACTGGAGATACTCAGGTAAACTTTCTGTAAATTAGATATGAAACAGCAAATGTTAAACCTTGATATTTAATTATATTTCAAGGTGAAAACTTGTCAGAAGCTTCTTGATCTGATAAGACAGATCATTTTCATTTTCAACTATTCAGGAAGGGCAGGAACTATTTAGATATTTTAACATAGGGGGAGACATGGTGGGATTTAACAAGCTATGAACAAGTAAGAGAATACATTTATACCACTCAACTTTTGCAACTTCGAATTTTATCTCCAGTAGGAAGCTCTCTTTTTACAGCATCATTTTTGTTTGCTCATTGACTTTCCTTTAGCAAGTTCCCACACTGCTGTGCTTGCCTCATCCTCTACCGTCTTCCTCTTTACAACTTTCTACTAATTAAAAATCTATGAATTAGAGTATAGCATAACAGAATGCTATACTGTTGTATACTTTTGTACATATTGCAAACAGTACACTATGGTTCTTGTCCCAAAGAAACCCCTGCCCTATTGCCTCAATGACTGTTACCTGTAGCCCTGACCTCAGTTTTGACAAACTGATTTGAAATGTTAGTGGATCCATTACAGTTTGCATAGTACCCCAACTACTTAACAGATGGTGCCATCACACACCTATTGCACACAGCTCTGACCCATCTGGACACTAGGAGGAGTAATGTTCAAATGCAGCTTATATACTGTAGCTAAACTTTAATACTATAATCCATTACATACACAGCTGTGTCCTGAGCCCCTGCTGTATTCACTGTACATGTATGACTGTGTGGCCACTTCTAACTCTACCATTGTCAAATTTGTTAATGACACTGTTGTAGTGGGCTTGATCTCTGAGAATAACACAAAGGCCCATCAGGAGTAGATTAAGCACCCGGTGTCTGAAGACTTACTCTTTCACCTACTCTTTCAGTGGAAGGTCACTGTAGATGGATATTGTTACAGAAAAGCTTTTCTCTTCTTAATTGCTTGAACTCTATGATGGATTGTGGATGATAACCAGGGGTATTGGTTGGTTAGAGGTTGGTTAAGCTGTGATGGCATCCCTCCAGTATGAATCAACCATGCTTAGCCTCAATTTGCAGTACTTCCTGTTGCCAACATTAAAATATTTTTAACCTTGGTTCTGGAGGTCCCCTTTTTGTCATATTTCTGTCATATCCTACTTTTTTCTCAGCTGCCAGTAGCTTAGCATCACAGTCCTGAGTGAAGGTTTTCAGACTTTCTGTTCTGCTCTTAGCTTCTTCAGTTTGGCCACAAATGTTTTTAAATTTCTTATCCAGAATTTGGGGAGCTGAAAACACAGGCAACCATTGTTGTCAGTGACTTTGGCTAAAATAGCAAGAGTTGTAACATGCAGAAAGAAGCAGTTAGTATCTTCAATTTCTTCTTTCTTCAGATCTCTGTTACATCTGAAGATATTACCACCAATGCTCATTTTATGATGACTCCTACAAGTATACCTTCTGCTTGTTTCATGTTTTTAGTGTCAGTGTTTAAAAGAACTGGTTATGTAGCAAGAGCACTACTATATACATTTGTTGTCTTAACCCAAATGTTGTGAATCTGATACTGGATATATATAATTTGTTGTTTTTTGTTTCTTCTTCTTTTTACTTATAACTAATTTTCTTTTTTAAATTTTATCTTCATACTGCAGTGCTGTCCAGACAAAAATGGTTTCTGCCTTGGAGTCTTGTCTCTTCTCAGAACTTTGTCCTTATCATATATCCTCTAGCTCAGAATCAGAATGAAATTTTAACATGTACTTAGTTGTGTGAACAGGTTGACAGTTTATTATACTTTTGTTATGTTTGGCTTTATATCAGTGTTTCACAGAATTTAGTGCTTGATGTTTTTATTCTCTACTGCAACTGGTTGTTGCTGTATGCAAGTGTCATCTGTCTCTCTTTTTCTTTCCTTTCTGCAGATTGTCTGGTTGTATGGTTACAGGTGAGGGCTGTGCTGCTCTGGCTTCAGCTCTGAAATCAAACCCCTCCCACCTGAGAGAACTGGATCTGACCTATAATAACCCAGGAGAGTCTGGAGTGAAGCTGCTTTCTGATCTAGTGGAGGATCCACACTGTGCACTGGAGAAAGTACAGTGAGTTACTGACTTACTGTTTCTGTATGCAGACAGACTGTAATTACACATATTATACACATTACTGACTGTAATGTTTTATGCTTTTACCTTTTCTTTAAGGAACCTTTTTAGCAACTGCAGTGCAATCATGATCAAATGACAGCACTCTGTTTCTGTCTGTCTTTCTGTTAGAGCTCATGAAAGTTCACCTCTGAGTAGCTTCTCTTTCAACATTAGTACTGAACTGTCTTCTGTATCCTCAGGAACACCAAATATTCATAGACTATTGCATCTAGATTTACAGTCATTCATCTTATTCACCAGTGCTTGTTGAAGCTCATTATTTACCTCAATACTCCAATTTTCCATGCTGTCAAATTCTGTCATTGCTTTGTCCATTTTCATGTTTTGCTGTTGTATTGTCTTTGGGTTAGCCGTTAACATTTGGTCAGTGTCCTGATGGAATGCTGCAAATAAATGTTCTTTATGAACTCATCTTTGAACATTTTAAGGTCTGCTTTGAGTTCTGTTTTGAGATCACTGATTTGTCTGCTTATGTTTCCAAGTCCAATGTAAAATGCCTCAGTTGCCTCACTCTCATCAGTGCCATCTTCTCTGGTTGCTTGCATGTTGTTCTCAATCTCGTCTATGTCACTGCAGTATAAATCTGTCTGCTGCTTTTCTTGTGGCCTTCTGCTTATTGATTTACCCACTCATCCCTTCAAGTAATACTGTAAATACACGTTGAAATACACGTTTGACTTTTTGTGTGTTCACAGGCTACTGAGAGAAACAGAGAAACAAGATATTTCTTTTCAACACATACTTCAGTTCACAGAAATACTCTCCAAATTCTTTTCAGAAATGTCACCTATGTAATATTTATCCTCTTAGACAGCTAAAAATATGAAAAAAAAAAAAACTTCTCTACAGTTTAATATTACGTACAGGTACCCAATGTACACTGTCATTTTAAAATGTATAGGTCACAAAACCCAGCTCAGGCTCTGACCACAACCAGTCCTGTCACATAATATGACAAGCAAACATTTTTGAAATATAGACACATGGTTGTACAATGTAACTGCATGCTGCAATAGGGATGATTTCCGTCTTGAAACATGTAACTACACGTGAATAAGAAGTTAGCCAATTGTGGTTAAATTGTCCTTTGACTGAAAAAAGCTGCACAATGTGCCACTGTATTTTATCTTTTGGAGCTGTATGTACTGGCCCAAACAATTCTGGAGTTTATCTCCAGTGCAAGATACATCAACTATCTTGCCATGCAGTGATACCTTGTTGTTTGCTTGTTTCAGACAGGATTGAGATGTAACAAAATACAAGTATTGGGAATACATATTCAGAATGCAGAAATTAAGTTTCTGTATTCAGTCCAAGTTAGATTATAGAATACAGTTACTTTGTACTTTTAATGCTCCCTTTTTGTGATTGCTGTGTTCTTTGGTTTTTAGCCTTGCCTGCTGTAGTTTCAGGTCTATTTGCCCTGAATTCTCAAGGAAAGACCAACTGAGTTTTATTTCAATCTGCAAGAATCCACTCAGTTTTGATTTTGTAACAAAATTACAGCAGAGTTTTCCCCATGTACTCTAATGTACAGGTATTCTAAATGTATCCTGAATGCATAACGTTTTATGTATTGTTATGGAATATGTTACTGAATACGTTTAGGACAGATTATTCCGTGTTCAGTCACTGCTTTTCCAAAGTATTTTGCCCAGTCACGGTTTCAGGTCATTTAGTGCAGTTTTTAGGAAGTACTTGGGTTAGAATCTGTTAGGAACTGACAACTCTGGAGAGTGACGCAACATTAAAATGTCCAGAATGAGAAGTGGTATTTTAAGAATTTCATGGGGAATGGACAGTATTAGGAAAAGAAGAACTGTGATATTGATGGAAAGATGCTAAAAAGTCAGTTGTCATAACATGCTGTGTCATTTCACACTCAAAAAGTGTTATGACAACAACATGTCACTTAGTTGACAAAAAAACAACTTTTATGAGAACTGAGGCTTGTAATAAGTCCGTACAAATGTTTATGCATGTTTATGTCAGTCTGTTATTTAGATGTAAGAATGCTGCCCTACAGCAATGTGTTATTGTGTGTTCTTCAGGGTGGATCATGGGGGGAAGATCAGGATCAAACCAGGACTAAATAAATGTGAGTTAAATTCACACACACACACACACACACACACACACACACATAGACTTTTTTTATATATATATATATACACACACTGTGTTTTCTCTAATCTGTATATATGTGTGTGTGCACAGATGTGTGTGATCTCACTCTGGATCCAAACACAATGAACAGAAATCTCTCTCTGTCTGAGAGGAAAAGAAAGGTGGAGTTTGTAGGAGAAGATCAGCATCATCCAGATCATCCAGACAGATTTGAACGCTATGCTCAAGTTCTGAGTGTGGAGAGTCTGACTGGACGCTGTTACTGGGAGGTTCAGTGGAGCGGACATGGAGCTGATATATCAGTATCATACAGAGGAATCAGTAGGGGAAGAGGCATTGACAGTATGTTTGGAAATAATAAACAGTCCTGGACTCTGATCTACTTTAATAACAGATACTCTGTCAGTCACAGTAAACAGAAAACTGACCTACCTGCCCACCTATCTCCCTCTAAGAGAGTAGGGGTGTATCTGGACTTGGCATCCAGCACTCTGTCCTTCTACACCATCTCCCCTGACACACACATACTGACCCACCTACACACATTCACCCCCACATTCACTGAACCGATCTACGCTGGGTTTAGGATTAATTCTGGCTCATTATTTCTGTGTTAGAATAACCTCTACGCACTCTGGGTTCTGCAGTAGTGAGTGGCTATTGGCATTAGTTTATGTGTGCATGTATGTTCATTTGTGTGTGTGGGAGGGGGTGTTTGTGTGTGTTTCCCGGAGAAAAAAAAAAAGATTTTTTACACTGATTAGTGTGAGGAGTCTCTGGGTTACCCTATACACTACATTGGCAAGGCAGATTGTACCTACACATTTTTAAAGTTTTTTAAAATGTCTCCTGGCATACCTTTCAAATCAGGTTATATGGTCGGCATGAAATGTGGGAACATGCATTCCAAAAAATGTTACGTCCATATTCTTCATTATATTGTTTTCTCATTGCCTCCCATTACCTACTGTTATCCTGCTGTTATTTCTACTGTTATTTAACATGGAGGCTCGGCTGCATGAGGCAGTGGAGGTGTCCTCACCTCCTCTGGACTTAATTGTTGGTCCATTTATACATAGGGATACTATCAACTAAGCCATTGACAACATGGTTCAAAAAGGAATAGTTTCACCTACAACTTCCTTTTGAGCTGTGCATCTTGTGCTTTAAAAGGATGGGGGAACTGGATTCTGCATGGACTATCACTGGCTCAAGGCAAAGACTAACTGGGATTGATATCCTATGGCAGTGTTTCTCAGCCCTGGTCCTGATGGCTGCCTGCCCTGCAGTTTTTAGTGTTTTTGCTTCTGCCAACACACCTGATCCAACTAATTAGTTCAATAATAATAATAATAATAATAATAATAATTATTATTATTATTATTATTATAACAACAACAACAACAATAATAATAATAATAATAATAATAATAAATGTCTTTATTTACATCTATATACCCTTTAACTGCACTCAGCACTTATGCACAATACAAGGTTTACAGGTATGACTGTTTGTGTGTGTGTGTGTGTGTGTGTGTGTGTGTGTGTGTGTGTGTGTGTTTGAATGTGGTAGGAATAATTGTTTTATTTTATTTTATTCACTACATGTAAATGTCTGTCTGTTACTTTGCTCTGTGAGCTCCTGTAATCAAAATCAAACTCCTTGTATATGTAAGCAAGCCTGGCCAATAAAGCTTGATTCTGATTCTGATTTATAGAGCACATACAGAGACAGGTGATCGAGTATTAATATTAAATCGTGTAAGGCAATAACAAATCATATTAAAAAGATAAATTCCAAAGAGATACAGAGTTTTAATTAAATATCTAATTCAAACTTAAAGGAATACATTTAAAAATGTTTATTAAAAGTAAGTTTGACTGTCTAATAAAAGCTGAACTGAGCTCCACAGTTTAGAAGCAGAATAACTGAAAGAGTCTCTCCACGTTTTCTGGGTTTTACTGAAGGTGTTTGAAGGTCAGAATCTGCAGATCTGAGATCATAAACAGACAGACATTCAGGAGCTTTAAGGTCATTTAGAGCTTTAAAACCTTAAACCTTAAACTCTCTCTAAAAGATCCAGGCGGTTAGTGCAGTGTGTAAACAGGGTGATATGAGCTCTCTGTGTTGGTGCTTTGAGGATCCATGCTGCTGGGTTCTGTATGGGTTCTAGAGGATGGACAGTAAGAACTCTGCTGAACAAACGCAGCTACAAGTTTCTCTGAGAAAAGACTGAACTTTAGATTTTCTCACATGATAAAAAGCTGCTTTAGTGACTGTATTTACATGCAGATTTAACAGAACTTAGAGTCTAAGATCACACCCAGGTTTCTACTGCAGGTTTGGTAGATGAAGATAAAGAGCCGAGATTCTCATAAAGCAACTTTCTCTGAGTTTCAGTACCAACAATCAGCATTTCAGTTTTTTCATGATTTAGTTGTAGAATTTTTTATCACATCCACTGAAAAATTTCTGGCACACAGCTGGTCAGCCTGTCTACAGAGTTTTGATTATCAAAAGGAATTGAAATTTATAATAGTGTGTCATCAATGCAGCTAAGAAATCTGATATCATGTCTCTTAAAGACATCACCTAGAGATAACCTGTACAAAGATAAAAGCAAAGGCCCTAAAACTGAACCTCTTGGGACTCCACAAGAATTGTTAAATCTCTTTGACGAATGATTTCCCACTGAAACCAAGAACTATCTGTTCATTAAATAGGATTTAAACCATTCTAAAATTGTGCCTGAGAGGCCGACCCAGCATTCAAGATGGTGGATTAAAATCTTGTGATCAACAGTATCAAACATTGCACTAAGATCCAATATGACCAAAATAGAGGAATTTGTGCATCAGAGCTGAGCCTGAGGTCCTTCACACATTTAAAATAATATCTAAAATCAGTGAGTAGCTCTGTCATCTCACAGCAAGGAGAGCCTGGGTTCGATTCCCCGGCTGGGCAACCAGCGTCCTTTCTGTATGGAGTCTGCATGTTCTCCCTGTGTCTGCATGAGTTTCCTCCTACAGTCCAAAGACATGCAGTCAGGCAAACTGGAATAGGCCCTAGGTGAATGTGTATGTCTGTGTGTCTGCCCTGTGATGGACTGGTGACCTGTAGAAAAGCTGGGGTTTATTAGTCAGTCTATGGTGGAAAAAAGGATTTTGGTATTATTTTAAGTCTATTAATTACACTGGAGAGGTATGACTGTCTGGATATTTTCATATCGTTATTATAGACTGAGATCTGATCTTTGAGAATATCATAATGTACCTGCAGTCTAGTTTTCACCATAAGCGCTCTGATTTACGACAATTTCTCTTAAGCTGAGTTATTTCAGCATTCATCCACAGATTTTTGTAGTATACAAGTTTTTCTTTCATTTGACTACAGCGAGAATGTCAAGGGTTTCCCCTAATCTAGCACTTAGATCAGAGACCAGATCATTACAGGATGGATTCAGAGCTGTATTCGCTGAACTATTATAAATGCTTTTAAACTTCTCAACAGTTTCTGAGTAATGCAGTGTAGTGATTCAAATATGATGATCCTGCACACCTTCACATGTTTTACATGATAAGTAGGAAACTGAGGATCTGAAAAAGAGAAGAGGAGCAGAGTTAGACATGCAGAATGATGAACAGAGCTGTAGGCTGATAAATCTCTAAAACAGCAAGTATGACATTGGAATAAAGGTAGTCAAATCTTGGGGGATAACATTAACATTAACATAAGTAACATATGGTGTAAATGTTAAGTGTGGAGAATGAACCAGGAATGAACAAGAAACAGACATGGCATGAAATGCATACTAGGGTAGCGAACAATAATTATAAGGCCAAAGTGAGATCACCAATAATATGATTATTTACACTATTACCAATAGTTACAAAAAGCAATTTTTTAAGACCTGCTGCTTACGTCAAGGGGAGTCTGGAGCTGAATGGCACGAGGGAAAAGCAACTATAAAAACAAACAATAAACAAAACATAGTACAATAAAATAAGTCCTCATCTCACAGCAAAACAAAAAAGCCTACATGCTCTGTTCTTACCTATACCAAAACGTAAACACAAAGATTGGCACTCACTGGTCAGCACTGGTTTATCTGCGCACCCACTATTCAAGCTGCACTGAAACACTTAAGTCCAAATGTAACATCCTGCAGCATTTCACAACTTTTCATCCAGTGCTACTTCTCTGCTGGAGTCAGGTCCATTACTGGAGCAGTTTAAGTACTGATGTTTGAGTATTAAGTATTATTTGTATTAGGTTTTATTTGCGTGCCTAAAACAAATAAAAAAATTGTTTTAAATAATATTTTCAGGTTATTTTGATGATTATTGGTTCCATACGACCTAACACTATTAATGTCAGAAGAACTGTTTTTCTGAGTATCCAGTAGATGGCACCAGAGTCAAGATAATTGACACCCCCTACTGTTCAGCTTTTGGGGCCCTTCCCCCCCCCATTTTATTCTCACTTTGTGATTGAAAGTAAATCTGTACTTCTACAGCAAGGGTTTGTCCTACTATAGTTACATTAAAGATGGTGATATTAAGTTATTAAATTCCTGTTTACCTTTGTTTACACTGACTTCAGCAAATTTGAAAAATAAAACTGTTCTTCATTCTCTAGAAGACATATGACTTATTGTTATTGTATAGTGAATAGTCAGCTAACTAATTCATTAATCATCAGTTAATAATGTACTACCCTAAATCACTATTAACTACCGAGTAATAAGTCAACACTCATTGGTAGTTAGCAGTAGTTACTAAGTGTTTAGGGAGCACTATTGATTCATCCCTGCTTAGACCCTGCATAGTTACCAATTAACTATGAAACAGTATTGTACAGTGTAACCAACCCATTTCATGAAGCTCCCAGCACACAGTTCTGATTCTGATGCTGCTTCCAGAGACAGTCTGGAACTCTGGACAGTCTGGAAGTGGAGCGACAGAGGACCAGCAATTTCATACCCTACATGCTTCAGAACTCAGCAGCCTCGCTCTGACTTTGTGAGATTTACCACTTCAGGCGAGCTTCAGTACGACACTCTACTGCAGGGACTGCAAGGATATGAGCTTAATTTTATCCACCTGTTAGCAATGGGTGCGGCTGAAACGCCTAAAAGTATTGGGTGTCCCAATGCTTTTAGCCATGTGGTATCATTAAAAGTGGCTTGTGCAAGTATTTTGCTTTTTATTAGTTAGATTTTTTGATAGTTAACTGTTTCTATATATACAAATTACTTTGTTCTGAGACATTCTCAGCAAGTCGCAAGTGCAGGAGAATCTTTATGTCTTGTTAATTTTTTTTGCGTACAAATTTATTTCAGACGTTTATATCATTTTTAAGCATTCTGAAACTAACAAGCTTTCACTGTGCTCTGGGTTTCAGTTTCATTCTCTACTGCTACTAAACTACTACAGGGTCATAACAGGTGTTTCTTGCAGTCAGTGTGTGGAGAGGGAAGCAAAGTAACGTGTGTGACATTCAGGGCAGATATTATTTCAGCAGGTTTTACATAAAGAGGCTGTGTGTCTTTTCTAAATGACAAGAAAGAATGGAGAGAATTGTCCAGCTTCACTGCAAACAGCTTTTATTGAAGCTCAGCAAGAAAATCCAGTTTAATAGAACATAAAACACAGAAACTTACCACAGCAACATCTTGTGGAAAAGCTTAAGCTAAGACCAAACCTAAAAGAAAAGCTATTAATATCTGAACAGTTTCTCTTTATGCTCTAATAGGAAGTTACTTTCATTAACATTCATTAACCATCATTACTCACACAAATATCCTGTCAGGGATGTTAGTCATGACGACAGAAACTTTCACCAAAAAGCAAATAAATATACAGCTTATTTAGTGTTTTCTTCACATTTAAAAGTGCTTCATAATGAGAGATCAAATCATCAAGTGACCAAAAAGTTGTAGGTGGTTAGAAGGGGACGCTTCATATGACTTGACTTGTGTTCACAGAAGCAGTTTAATTAATTACAGTTGTAATACATTAGTACAAATAGAAATAATAAAAATGCAGTGTTACTGTTCTGCTTAATAAAATGTGTAATGTATGCCTAGTATAGCATTAGTTAGCACAAACATTAATAGGTAAAATTAAGACTAAAACTTAACAGTATTTCTCCGCTGGAGTTTCTTCATGAACACACTGAATGCCTGCTTATAAAGTTTAGTGAGCTCAGAATTCAGCTCGTCAACAGTCATCTCCCTTTTGTCAAACTGGATATTTAGATAAGGGTTTATTTGTTGAGCAAGGTAGGCTTTGGAAATGTGTTCCTTTTTGTTGTTAACGCAAGAGAAGGCTGTCCAGTAATGACTGGGAATGTTAAGTCCATTTTTAATGCTTTTTTCCCTTATTTCTATGGGCAGCCATTTCTCTCCTGGAACCACCCCAGTCACAATATAAGCTGGATTGTTTAGCTTACACAGTTTTTTAATTTCTTTGAGCATTGGATTTTCCACCTGATTTGCCCATTCTTCATTGCTTTTTCCAGTTTGTGGTGCTGCGTTGGTGAGTGTAAAGCTGGACTCTGCCTGTTCCTGATCAACAGCATAACCGTTTGGAAACACATGGCCTTTAGTAAAGACTGAAGTATAGTCTTTTTCCTTAGCCTGGAAAAGAATCTTGTCTGCAATATCTGGTGTCATCACCTTCATCTCTTTGTTATTTTCCGTAGACGGTAGATCAAGCTGTTATGAAGAAAGAGAAAGGAAGTGTAAGTGAATAAAACATGATCTAGTGATTTAGTTACATACTGAGCCACAGTCGTGAAACTTAAAAAGGGAATTACAGTCAAGAGTCACGGTGTTGGGGGTGACAGGGAGGGGAGACAGCACACTGAGGCTCTGCTGAATCATCACACATCATGTGCTGAGCACTGAAGTTGTACAAAAGATTAAAGTCAGCTAGCAAATCCATGTCATTCCTGTGAGTACAGGATGGCTGGTCACCTTGTTCGATAATTCGATAATTAACAGACAGGTGCTGCTAATCAAATGCACTTCATTAGTTGATCATTAGTCTGATCACTTTTACAAAAGCAGGAATTTCAGAGAAGAGAAATACATCACCTAGTCCCTTCTTGACAAAACAACGTTGCAGCATGAATTGTGTTTGCAAAGCTGCTTCTGAACAAACCACAAGGTTTCTGGAACAATTTCAGATGAGACCAAAGTGGAGATGTATGATCATTTTGCATGACAGCATCTTTACTGAAAACCAAACACAGCATATCACACAACACTCCTTTCCAACTGTCAAGCATTGTGGTTGAGGGGTGATAATTTAACCTGGTTTTGCAGCCAAAGGGACCTTATCCTAACCCTACAACCATAAAGATGATGATCAGCTCCTCCTTGTACCAGAGTCATCTAGAGACAGATATGAGGTCATCTGTCTGACTTGGGTAAGTTTGCATCATGCAACAGGACAGCGAGCCCAACACCAATATACAGATAAACTGCTAAAAAGGAGAGAAGGAAGGTGTTGGAACACACATCTCAATTACATTGTGCTGCTGTGGTGGGACTTTAAGAGATTTTTGCATTAATAAACACCTTCAAACATAAATGGTGGATAGAAGAGTGAGCCAAAACTTCTCTAAAATGCTGAGAGAGACTGAGAAGAGAATCAGAGAATAGTTACTTACTGTACTAGTATTTCCCTCATGGCTTCTGCATCTTAAATGTTTCAATAATGGCATGGTGGAATTAAGTGTTTGTAATCCAACATGAATGTTTATAAAACCTTATTTCTATAGACATCACCTGTCATCTGTCAAAGGCTAGTTTAGCTAACTTCGATCAAAATTGGTAAATGTAACCTTTCTAGCAAATGACGCCTTTTGGAATAAGCACTTATGTAGAGTTATATTAGTTGTCATGACAAGCTTCTGTAGGTGTCATGTAGTCATATGAACAGTACCCTATAGTAAAGTATTACCAAATAAATTAATAAGTAAATACCAATTCCACAAACTTCATTGGTAGGTTCTGAATGCTTTCAATTCACCATCATTCAAATGAATGGTCACAGAATATGAATGGTGTACAGCAGCATGTTTGTATACCATGGATACTTAATGAAAGTATTCTAAATTATCCAAGTGCTTTTAGGTTTGCACAGATTTACTCACCTGAGGTTCTATCATCCACTCATCAGGTCGAATACTTTTGCCTTTACTAGTAAAAGTGTATGCGGAGTAGACTGGGATCCTGCTCAACCTGTCGTAGAGAGTGGCATATCTATACTGGCCTTTCCAGCGCTGGCAAATCTGCTTATACTGTTCTCCCTTGAAAACAGTAGGGGTGATCACTTCATTCTGATTATAGGGGTTTCGGATAAAGAACTCAGGGCAGGTTTCTTTAAAAGACTGCACGACCTCGGACACGGACAGCGAGGGAAAACCCAGCAGCAGGAGCAGAGTGTGGAGCTTCATCCTGAAAACCAGAGCTCTGTCTGAGGAGAGCAGAAAACAGGGGCAAATAAATAGAGAGCATCTCAAAGGAAGGAGTAGACATGTGATCTGCTGTAATCAGAAGGTAGGAGGTGGAGTTCCCAAATGCAGAATCACCTCAGCTGCCAGTATAGTGTCTTATCATTCAAGGCAATAACTTTAAATGTTTCACTTCATCCACCTGTATAAGAAATGTATTAGAAGGTGGGTTGTGCCATGTTTAAGAACGCTTTGTAATGCTTAAGAAAATAAAGAATTTGCTTATGAATGATTTTGTTTTCAAAAAAATTACATGAAAGCACATGTATTACAGTGACTAATGAGCAAAATGAATCAATGTTCAGGCATATTTGTTAGGACTTTTATTATATTTTTTACTGCTTGTCCCTGAAACCTACTCATTGATCCTTAATACAAAATTGTTGTTAGATAAGAAACACATGCTCTTTCATTTTTTCTGAGAATTACACATTGTGGGCATTATAACTGGCTGGATGAATGCAACAGTTTAAAACACCATGAGGTAGATCATTTAGGGGAGTCATGATCGGTAAGCTCTGAGGAAAACCACGGCATCACGAATACAGAAAAACAATATAATCAAGTAGGGCTAAATAGACAATAAATAAAGCAACACAAAATCCAAACATTTGTTCAATTGATGTCTTGTCAAAAACTGAAGCAGCCAAAATATTCTGATACGCTATATGTACATTACAGCTAAAATGTACTATATAACGGTATATTTTTGTCTCATGCTTGTCCCTTTACACAGATTTTTTTTTTTTTACTTTTGACAAGAGAAGACTCTGCTACTGCTTTTTTTATTGAACAGAAATCAACGGCAAGCAACACTGGAACTACAGAAAGCGAAATAGTGCAGGGAATGTTAAAGTTAAATGGCCGACTGTGTCAACCTTTCGTCCGTACAACCTTTCTCAAATGTTTTATTCCAGTATTACTTGCCATTGATTTTGTCCAGTGAGTGCGGCGCCAAGGGTTCGGTTTATGAAGAGGAACGTGAATTTGAGTAGGAACTGAATCAGATGTAACACCAGTAAGTGCTTTTGAACAGCTTACAGAGCGTAAAGATTTAGGGTCACTGCATCAAACACTGACTGACCGGTGATGCAGTCTGAGACCTTGATGTCAAACAGAGTGAAACTTCTCATCAAAACATTTTGACTTATCAGGAAGTTTGTGTGTGTGGCTAATACACACACACACACACACACACACACACACACACACACACACACACATTTAGCAATTGCTCCCAGGACAAGAGGTTACACTGTACACAGCTCTGTGAGGGCACAAAATGACAAACCATCCACCTACATGCACATACAAGGAAGCAACATAATTACTTTCACCATTAAATTCTTACTATGATTAATTGGATGTCTGTGGTTCTGCCTCCTTGTCCTAATTGGTTGGATGTCGGTGGCCCCACCTACTTGTGCTAATTTGTTGGAAGTTGGAAGTCCCACCTCCTTTTCCTGACTGGTTGGCTGTCAGTGGTCTCGACTTCTTGTCCTGACTGGTTGGTGTCGGTGTTCCCAACGTCTTGTTTTGATTGCTTTAATGTCAGCAGTCCCACCTCCTTGTCCTGATTGGTTGGATGTTAATGGTTCCAGCTGCCTGTCCTAATTTGATTAATGCCAAGGGTCCTGCCTTCATGTCCTGATTAGTTGAATGTCGGTGGTCCAAATCCCTTGTCCTGATTGGTTGGATGTTAGTGGTGCCACCTTCTTGTCCTGAGTGGTTTGATGTTGGTGGCACTGTCCCTTTTCCCGATTGGTTGGATGATGGTGGTCCTGCCTCTTTGACTTGATTGGTTGGATGTTGGTGATCCCACCTCTTTGTCCTGATTGGTTGGATGTTGGTGGCTGTGTCCCTTGTCCTGATTGGTGTGATGTCAGTTGTCCTCCCTCTTCACCCCAGTTGGTTGCATGTTGGTGGTTCTGCCTCCTTGTCCTCAATGACTGGATGTTGGTGGAGCCATCGCCTTGTCCTGATTGGCTAGACATTGGTGGCCCTGTTCCTTGTCCTGATTGGTTGGATGTTGGTGGTCCTCCCTTGTTGTTCCAATTGGTTGAAAGTTGGTGGTCCTGCCTTCTTGACCTAATTGGTTGGATTTGGTTGTCCTCCCTCCTTACCTTGATTGATTGGTGGTCCCACCTCCTTGTCCTGATTGGCTGGACATTGGTGATCCCACCTCCTTGTTCTGATTGGCTGGACAGTGGTGACCCCACCTCCTTGTCCTGATTGGCAGTACATTAGAGGTTCAGCCTTATTGTCTTGACTGATTCAATAGTGGTCGTCCCACTTTCTTGTTTTTTCTGAAGAGTGGAAACAAGAGTTCAATATTGCTAATTCATTATTGGTGTGGAGAGTAGAAACTAACAGTAGTTCAACACTGCTAGTTCATTACTGGAATTGCAAGCTGAAGCTAACAGTAGATGAACATTTCTAGTTCAGTACTGGTGTGAACAGTGGAAGCTAATGATGCAGCAACATTACTAGTTCAGTACTGACATGGTAAATGGAAGATAACAGTAGATCAACATCACAAGTTTAATACTGACATGGTAAATGGATGATAATGGTAGATCAACATCACTGGTTCAGTACTGACATGGTAAATGGAAGATAATCAAGTTTCAAGTTTATTTATTTGTCATATGCACAGCATGCCAGGACATTTATGCATTGAAATGCTTGTGGTGAGGCTCGGACAAACACTCTACAGAAAGTAAATAAGTAAAAATAAAATTACAAGAAAAACTAACTGAAATATATTAAATATACACAAAATATAGAGAAAATACAGATAAAAATATACACAAATATAGAGAAATGTACACAAATATACAGACAATATACATTTTAAAGTGACTAAGTGACTGTTATTGTTCTTAAAGTGGCTTAGTGTTAAGGTGTTATTGTCCATAGCAGAGATGACATGATGTAATAATAATACTGACAAAAAGACTGAGTGAAATGGTATTTAGTGAAGGACCCACAGCTTTACAGCTTGTTCAGAAGCCTGACAGCCTGTGGGTAGAAACTGTTCATTAACCTGGTTGTCCTAGCCTGTATGCTGCGAAATCTCCTGCCTGATGGCAGGATGGTGAACAGGCTGTGTGCTGGGTGGCTGCTCTCTGACCGGATCTTTTTGGTCTTCCTGAGGCAGCGGGACTGGTAGACATCCTCTAAGGCTGGTAGTTTGTTGCCTATGATGGCTTCTGCCGTCCTCACCACTCCTTTAAGGGCCTTGCGGTCAGGCAGTGCAGCTGCTGTACCAGACAGTGATGCAGCCCGTGAGGATGCTCTCTATGGTGCATCTGTAGAAGTTGGTGAGGATCTGAGGAGGCAGACCAAACTTCCTGAGCCTGCGCAGAAAGAAGAGACGCTGACGGGCAGATCTTACGATAGTGTTGGTGTGGAGGGACCAGGTGAGGTCATCAGTGAGGTGTACGCCGAGGAACTTCACACTGCTGACTCTCTCCACTTCGGCTCCATTGATGAACAGGGGAGAGTGACCACCCCTCTGCCGCTTCCTGTAGTCCACGATCATCTCCTTTGTTTTGCTGATGTGGAGACAGAGATTGCTGCCATGGCTCCACTCTGACAGAGCGCTGACCTCGTCTCTGTAGGCTGTTTCATCTCCATCAGTGATGAGGCCTAGGATGGTGGTGTCATCAGCAAACTTGAAGATGATGTTAGACGTGTGTTTGGCTACACAGTCATGTGTATACAGGGAGTACAGGAGGGGGCTGAGCACACATCCCTGGGGAGCCCCTGTGCTCAGAGTCAGTGTGGAAGAGAAGCTGTTCCCAACTTTCACCACCTGAGGTCTGCTCGTCAAGAAGTCCAGTATCCAGTTGCACAGATGAGAGTTCAGACCCAAGTCTGTGAGCTTAGGAATGAGTTTGGCAGGGATGATTGTGTTGAATGCTGAGCTGTAATCTATGAACAGCATTCTTACATATGTATTCTTTCTGTCCAAGTGTGTGAGAGCAGTGTGTACTGTTAGTGCAATGGCGTCGTCTGTGGATCTGTTGGAGCGGTATGCAAATTGGTGAGGGTCCATGGTGGCTGGAAGTGTTGAACAGATGTGAGCTTTGAGCAGCCGCTCAAAGCACTTCATAACTGTTGATGTCAGTGCAACAGGGCGGTAGTCATTCAGGCAGGTGACAGATGATTTCTTGGGGACTGGAACAACTGTGGTTTCCTTAAAGCACTTGGGAATCACTGACAGTCTTAAGGAGAGGTTAAAGACGTCAGTGAAAACCTCAGCCAGCTGGTTGGCACATGCTTTAAGTACACGGCTGTGGATGCCATCAGGACCGGGTGCCTTGCGTGGGTTAACTGCCCTGAAGGATCTCACCACCTCAGACAGGGGAATGGCTAGAGCGCAGCTCTCCTCATCTACTGGGAGTTTCTCAGCAGGTGAGGTGTTAGTTGCCTCAAAACGAGCATAATGAGCATTAAGTTCATCTGCAAGTGAGGAGAAAGAGCCGCTATCACAGATCACACCTTCTTTGTAGTCAGTGATGGTGCGCAGGCCACTCCACATACGTCTGAGATCAGAGCCAAGATAGTTAGATTCCACTCTGTCCCTATAGCTCCTTTTGGCCAGCCTGATGGTCCTCTGAAGGTCATTCTTGTAGCTAGCCGGGTCACCAGAGTTGTAGGCAGCAGCCTGAGCTCTTAGTTTGGCTCGAACCTCAGCATTGATCCAGGGTTTCTGGTTGGGAAATGTTCTGACATTGATTATTGGTACAATGTCTTCAGTGCATTTATTGATGTAGCTTGTGATGGAGTCAGTGTATTCATTGATGTCTGTGCCAGCCGCATCACGGAACATCTTCCAGTCTGTGGATTCAAAGCAGTCCTGAAGTGTGAAGATGGCCTCCTCACTCCATTGATAGACTGATCTGAGAACTGGTGTCGCCTGTTTAAGTCTTTGTTTGTATGCGGGCAGTAGAAGAATAGAGGTGTGATCAGCTTTGCCGAAGGCAGGGCGGGGGAGGGGTTTGTAACTGTCCTTGATTGCGGTGTAGCAGTGGTCAAGAGTCTGTTCTCCTCGGGTGGGAAATTTAATGTGCTGGTAGTATTTAGGCAGAACCTTCTTCAAGTTTGCCCTGTTAAAATCCCCAACCACAATAAAATCAGCCTCAGGGTGAACGTTCTCAAGTCCATTAATGATCTCGTACAAAACTTCCAAAGCACGTGACTTATCTGCCTGCGGTGAGATGTAGACTGTACTGAGAATGACTGAGCTGAAGTCCCTGGG